ACAGCCAGGCACCTTTCTTATCTTCGGGCTTTGGTGAATTATCACTAAGCCTGCTCTGAATATGTCAGTCACACGACGAACGAAAGCTCAGCAAGGATTCATCGGGGTCGTAGGGCGGTGCGCCAAGGACTTATTCACTCAGATCTACAATCACAGCTCCAATGAAATCCACCAACAGTTTCTGGTAAGGCTAACTTACGAATCCCTTCTATTTGCCACTTCAAATGAGATGAAAAGTATTATTACATCAACTACTTCTTCATCATCTTAAACTAAATAGGGTGAATACATCTCATATTACTGATTTACTGGTGGTCTCGAAACTCTACTTACATACAAAAAATAAGTAACGTAGTCAATTATTATAATAAATATACATTTGCTTTATCGACAATCCAACCAAAGAATGTGATATGGCAAAAGGCCTGGCCTTCCTTGAAATGCACATCTGCCCTGTGACTCAAAGGCATTCGTGGCAATGTGGCCGAGTGGTTAACGTGTCAAGGTCACATTCTGAATTGTCACGGTTCGACTCCCGTTGGAGGTGTTGATAAGGCTTCCAGAGGGCCGCTCCAACGTCCCATCCGAAATGCCCGTCCGACTTAGAAACACTACCGGCTGCCGGGCTGTACCCGTTACCTCGACTACCGCTCTCAAGTCTCTCTTCCCTTCCAGCTTCACTTCACTCCTGCTATGACTTTCTGCGACCTACTCTGCTCACCTCCCCCCTGCCTCCGAGGTTATTTTAACTTCCCCTCCAAGCATTCAATGTTGGACAGGATCAAATTGCCGCCTGAAATGTCGCCGTTAAGCTGCTTTCGTCCCTTCACCTCGTCGACGTCATCTTCTTGCCCAGTCGATTCCTTTCATTTTATCATAGAACTTACGCCGTCGCATTACCTTCTCTCTTCTCCCATCCCTACCCCCTTTTCAACCGGATACCCGTCCCACTAAGCCACACTGCTAACACACTCACACAGATATGATGACACATTAGGAGGCAAAAAGAGTGGGCACGTACTAGCCTACCGTGCCTCTTCATTTTTCCACCCTCGCACAAGGTCTGTCCACACCTCGTTTGCCACAAGCAGAGCCTTTTTCCCTAAACTCCCACAAATACGCCAAGACAACCATTTGCATCAAGCCCCCGGCTTCCTGCCTCTCTCGTCTGCTCCCATGTCTTGCCGAACCAAATTTGTACCTGGCCTGTGTGTAAAATTCTACCTCTGACCAGACCGAGCCGGACAGAGGGAAGAGTGTCAGAGCTAGGGGCGACGAGTAGCAAGACCTGAGCTCTTGTCTAAGTCTCGAGAATAGGGTGTAGAGAAGGGAAGTGGCCGAAGTGGCCGGAGTGGCCGGGGGCGTGGCAGCGCTCTGGGGGCAACCGACAAGCCTATCTTCCAAAGGGAACGTGCGACATGCTTGAATTGGGCATTTCTCCTGTAGCCTATCCGACGATGAGTCTGTTCGTTAATTTGTTTTTAGCCCACGTCTATTTGCTTCAATCGCTCCTAGTTGCCTTAGCTTTCTCCCTCATGAGCATAGGCTTAGGTGAGCAGAGAAGATAAACGAACCGAAGACAAGCCCAATATTTGCAGTGATCCCCTGACATGTAAACGTTTGGCTCACAGTCTATCCAACTCGCGTGCACTTGCTCCACTTTTCCCTAATTATTGTCTTCATGCTAGCATGTGCTCTAAGACGTCTAGTTCTTGATGCCGCGCGACATTTGCCTGTTTGCCTCCATGTTCGTGCGCATATACACGAACGCATATACCCTCGCAAACGTACATGAATACATACATATATACACACATATATACATATATGTATAAATGTGTAGGCATGTAGCAAGCTTCCTGATACATTTATACATTCATCCTAATCCTCCTATGTTTGCCTCTTCATGCTATGCGACATACTCTCAAGCTACCATCCGTTATAATGGATACTTTCAGCTGCCCACCATCATGCATACATACAGAACATACTTTCGCAGACACACAGATTTTTGAACTTATGCATACCAGCCAACACTCGCGCTTGGACGCCTCTTGCGCATATTCCTGTGCACACGCATACACACAGGAGAAAATACATAGAAAAGGCACAGGAATATGCACAAAAGGTATGTACTCTATAGTATACTTAACTGGGAATAAATTCCCTTTTTTGCTTAAAATTATTTTAAGATAATAGGCCTAAATTAGACTGGAAACGAACTGACTACTAGTTCATGAATTCCCACATCCCCACTAGTACCCACATCTTCACCCACACACATAAACAGAGATACAAACGCACACACAGAGGCCTATGTAGTCTTTTGAAAAATCTTTCATTTCAGCAAATCAAAGTTCCTTAATGCTGTTGCTTTTTGACGAATAACGTTTAACTTTTCCGAAATGTCGGTAAATTGTACGCCTCATGTGTTTTCCAGGAGCCTAGGAGGCGAGGGGAGTAAGTCTGGGGTTGTTCAAACTTGACCAAGCACACATTCACTAGGCCATGTGCGATCTCTTTTCCTCACACACTGAAGCCTACACAATCCTCGTTCTACTTGCGCAGAAATTTTCTTTTCAGATAATAGGCAAATGTTTCAGACTCCAAAGAACCAAATATCCGAATCTCTAGACGCTTAATGCCCTAACTACAATTTGATCAGCCCTGAGTCCGAATTTCCGTTCGGAATATGAGACACAAAGGCACCAACCGGTAAGAGACTCTTCGGAGTTCTATTCCTCCACAAACAAGCCCTGCAATTGAACGTCAGTAAGAAACTTATGACATTTGGAGAGCAATGAGATATTATTTACCCTTTTTCATTTAAAGTAATTGAGGACTGGTAGTAGAAGTTGCCCACAATTATATGAGTAGAGCTGACATTTTCATTGAATTTCACATAGCCTTGCTTTCCCAAAAGGTGTTCTCATCCAGGGTGGACTGTAGTTCCGACCTCGCATAGGTCTTATCATCACCCCCAACGGGATTCGAGCCATGGCTGTGCAGCGTGTAAACTCGACACATTACTGGTAGTCTCAAAACTTTGCTTATAAACGAAAAATAAGTAATATAGTCGATTTTTATAGCAGACATAACTTTGCCTTATCGACACTCTCACAAAAGAATGTGATATAGGAAAATGTTTGGCCTTCATTCAAGTGCATATCTTCCCTGTTACCCAAGGGTACTCGCAGTAGTGTGGCGTAGTGGTTAACGTGTTGAGATTACATGCTGCCTTGTCATGGTTCGATTCCCGCTGGGGGTGTTGCTAAGATCTAGGCGAGGTCAAAACTGCAGTCCTCCCTGGATGGAAACAACTTTGGGGAAAGCAGAACTTTGTGAAAATTCAATGGAAACATCAGCTCTACTCATATCATTGTGGGAACATTCAACTATCAGTACTTCATCACCTTAAATAAAATAGGGTGAATACCTTGGCGTTGAGCATAAAGGTTCTCGATGTAATAAGGTCCTGTAATATGAGGCGAAACTTTGCAGAGCTTTTATCCGTCGCGCCGTAATGGATATTACCGGAGCATGGAAATGTCTTTTTTAAAAATGTCACCAAACATTAGGATAACAAGGGTCACTAGATTTATATGAGATGTATTCACCCTATTTCGTTTAAGATGATGTTGATGAGGCAAACGTATTTTTGCTATGACAATCGACCACATTACTTATTTTTCGTATATAAGTATAGCGAATTTATGTGAAATTCAATGTAAACGTCAGCTCTACTCATATCATTGTGGGAATATTCTACTAACAATCCTTCATCATCTTATACATGTCATATAATTGATTTACTGGTAGTCTCGAAACTCTACTTATATATGAAAAATATCTAGAGTTAGGCAGGATTTCAGATGACCAGCATTCTATGCTTAGTCCTACATACCAGAAGCAGGCATCAGGCGATCGTGGATTCTAGGGCAGAATTGTCTATAGCTGTCCTCTATACGCAGTCTGGCGGAATGCAGGCCAGACATGCATACAACAGTGTATACATGCCATCATTTGCCTAGTTTTTTACTGGCATAATGTTGTTCTACGAGATCTGTTCATCTTATTTCGTTTAGGATGATAAAGGAGTGGTAGTTGAATTTTCCTTGATTGATATGTGTGAACCTTATAGTTCCATTGAATTTCACATATATTTACTTCCCAAATGGTGCTCTCATTCAGAGTGGACTACAGGTTCGACCTCGCCTAGGTCTTATTAACACTCCAAGCGGGGCTCGAAGCATGACAATGCAGCGTGTAAGCTCAACACGTTAACCACTATGCCACATTACTACGAGTACCCTTGAGTCACAGGGCAGATATGCATTTCAATAAAGGCCAAACATTTTCTCATATCGCATTCTGTAGTGGGATTGTCAGCGAAGTAAAGTTATATTCGCTTTAACAATCGACCACATTCTTATTTTTCGTTTGTAAGTAGGGTCTCGAGACTATCAGAAAATCAGATATAAGATACACTTAGAAACGAAAAATAAGTTATGCAGTCGATTATTATAGCAAATATAACTTTGCTTATCGAAAATCCCACGAAAGAATTTGATATTGGGAAATGTCTGGTTTCCTCGAAATTCACATCTGCCCTGTGGCCAGAGGGCATTCATGGCAATTTGGCGTAATGGTTAGCATGTTGAGGTTATACACTAATTTGTCATGGTTTGAGCCCCGCTGGGGATGTTTATAAGACCTAGGCCAGGTCGAAACTGCAGTTCACTATGGATGAGAGCACCTTTAGGGAAAGCCAGTTTATGTGAGATTCAATGGAAAAGTCAGCTTTATTCATATCATTGCGGAAAAATTGAAATACTAGTCCTTAACCTTAAAATAAATAGGGTGAAAACATCTCATATATCTGAGTTACTGGTAGTCTCGATATCCTACTTACAAATGAAAAATAATGGGGGTCTGCCGATGACGAATCCCGCCGAAGGTTTGATTTTGCCAAAGATTCTCGCGACTACTTGTTCTTCGAAGATATGTTTGTCTTTCAGGGTGGACTGCAGCTTTGTCCTCTGACGGAGTTAAAACCCAGACTACTCCTTGAAGTTGCAGTATAAATTGAAGGCAAGAGGTGGAATCAAGTAATACCCTCAATTCTGACTCAAATGCTTAAATGCATGTGACCATAAGTAGTTTATATCCACTCAAACTGCTCACACATTTTAGCAGTTGCACATATCTTAGCTCTTTCGATGTGCTTATCACACTCGGGCCTCCAATCCAGATCCTTTCATTGTCTCGTAGATCCGTTCTTTATCTCTCTGGTTGACCTATTTAACTCGTGTCCAGTCCCTGTGTGCATTTCACTCCTGGCGCTATTTCTCAAGGCCCTAGAAACACATACACTGCCGCTTCACTGAGCGGAGCGCTTAAGCTCTAAATCCCATGCTTGCAGATATTAGGCCTGTGTGCGATGTGTTCCGCTAGTTCTGATCTTTCAGTATCCATTTTTCTGCAGAGCCTCTGATGTTCCTTGAT